GCCCGTCCCCGTGGGGCCAGGGCACACGGTGGGGATGCTCCACAGTGCCCAGCCGGGGCTGGAGGCTGCTGACCGGGGTTGCCAGGGAAAGGGAGAGCGGGAAATGGTGAACCCCTTCCTGGGGCGGGGGGATGCGGCAGGAGCCCTGCCGGGACGAGGGGACCAGGTAGGGCTGTGTGTGGGGACCAGCACCACGGGAGCTGCAGAGCAGGGTTTGCCCTCACCCTCTGCCCCAGGTCTGCATCGGGAACAGTGACTGCGGGGAGGTGCCTGGCTTGTCCGAAGAGCATCTCCAGCCTCTCCCACCAGCTGCCTGCACCACCACCCTTCACGCAACTGCCTAGAAAAGTGCTGGAGATGACCTTCCTGGGGTTTTTTTTCTTTGTGGTTTATTCTTTATCTGGCAGCCCAGAGAGGTTTCTGGGGTACCAACAGCCTCCCCAAGGCTTGGGCAGGTGGAAAGGCTGTTTCTAAGCTTTGGAGACAAATCCAAAGCACATTTGTGGGAGGGAATGGGCCAGGGACATGCCAAGGAGAGTGATCACAGCCTGAGGTGGTCTCCCATCCTCTGCAGGAATCGGCGTGGGACTGGTTGGCTTCGGCCTCTTCTTCCTCCTTTTTGGGATGCTCTTGTACTTTGACTCAGTGCTCCTGGCCTTTGGGAACGTGAGTACAGCGGGGCCAGGGCTACCCGCAGCGAGCACTGATGCCCAGCGAAGGGTCTGTCTGGGCAGGACTCTCTGACCTGCTTCCCTTCATCCTCCCAGATCCTCTTCCTCTCCGGCTTGGTCTTCATCATCGGCTTCAGGAGGACCTTCACCTTCTTCTTCCAGCGGCCAAAGATGAAGGGCACCAGCTTCTTCCTTGGAGGGGTCATCATTGTCCTCATGCGGTGGCCGCTCCTGGGCATGCTGCTGGAAGCTTATGGCTTTATCAACCTCTTCAGGTCCGTCCCACAGCACCCGGCGTGGCGTGGGTGCCCCGGGCTGGAGAGCAGGAGCTGCCAAGCCTCATGCCCAGAAGCCCCAGGCAGAACCCCACTGCTCCCATCCCTGCAAAACCCCGTCACGGAGCTTAACGGAGACTTTTGTTTCAATGCAGGAGTTTTTTCCCGGTGGCTTTTGGGTTTTTGGGCTCGCTGGCAAACATCCCCGTGCTGAGCAAGGTGAGCAGGGCACTGGGCACGGTTCTGCCAGGTGGATGTGACCCTTGGGGTTTGCAGTCCTTGGGTGATATCCATCCCGATCGCCATGGACAGGGAAGGTCACCGCGGTCTCTCCACAGTACCCTGAAGATGCACTGGGGGTTTTCCTGCTAATCAGGATCTGTCCTTGTTGCAGCTCTTGCAGAAGGTGGGAGACAGCAGCTCCATGGTGTGACCTGCGAGACGGACCACGTCACTGGAGGTGGGACAGCACGAGCGAGCCCTGGGTCCGACTGTCTCACAGTGAGCTGCTGCCTCTCTCGGCTCCGGGACGCTCGGCGCCGGTCGGAGCCACCCCTGCTGTGGGGACAGTGACTCGCTGCCCCGTGGGGCTCCTGTCAGCAGCTCTTGAGCGAGGCTCCAGGGACCAAACGCTGTGCCAGGCAGGCTTCTGGAATTATTAGCGTTATTTTATTCTTTTTGTCTTCCCCTGTTGAGAGATTTAATTAAAAAGTGTGTCTGAGACTGAACTCAGACTCTGCTCCTTTCCTGTGGCTCAAGGCTTGCTCCAGCTCTGCCTCCTCTTAGTGTCACCAAGAGGCGTCATGGCCATGGCTGGAGATGGCACAGGGACCTTCCCATGGCCGTGGCTGGAGGTGGCACAGGGACCTTCCCATGGCCACATCTGGAGGTGGCACAGGGAGCTTCCCATGGCCGTGGCTGGAGGTGGCACAGGGACCTTCCCATGGCCACATCTGGAGGTGGCACAGGGACCTTCCCATGGCCATGGCTGGGGGGGGGCCAGGGACCTTCCCATGGCCATGGCTGGAGGTGGCATGGGGACCTTCTGCTGGCCGTGGCCCCCACTGCCCTGGGCATGAGCCCTAG